TGCAGGAACCACCCCCCAACTAGCCCACAGAATCAGGAAAAATAATCAATCACTGTTGTTTTAGGCCACTCAGTTTTTCGAGGGTCCATTTGTGGCCATAGATGCCTGAGAGGGCGTGTAACTCCATGGACGCTTCTTTCCACTGAATGCTTTCTCAACTGTTTCACTGGTCAATGCCTCTCTAAGAGGACGGGCAGGAAAATGAGAAGGAAGGGAACTCAAGTTGCTCTGTCTACTTATTAAAATTCTGACCGACGGGCAAGGTTTGATGAGTTCAGAACACTTTTTTAAAAAATCCCATTCAATAATACAATTCAATCAACACTTATCAACTCACTATCTACCTATGAGTCTGTGCGTAGCCTCCAATTTGCTACACTAGTGCCAACCTTATTACTAAGCAAAACTGATCAGCTATTTTTAGGCGCTTCCAGCATTTTTCAGGATATCAGCTCCAGCTCATGAGAAAATGGCCATCTACATACCTGGTTTAGACACAAAATCATATCCTCAAATTCAGAAAAGAGTATTTCGCTATGTATGACAGAAAAATAAAATACAAGATTTGTCCTTGAAAGTTCCATTCTGCATCTAGTTGATCAAATTGAGCGAATTATCATACTGAGTTTTTCTCCATAATAAGCTTTGCATATGAATTAGGATTTCAATTTTACTTTTCTGTGACACTTGTGGATCAAAAGGTAGTACTCAGAAATTTTAAACAACGGCAGTACATTTCAGCATTTTTTAAAGAGCAAAATCCAGTGTGCCTAAATATATCCAAAAGTCAATCACAGACCTCATAAAACCAACAATTTTTATTTTTTTCACAGAACTCTTATAATGAACAGTGTAAGTATTATAACACATATACTCAGATACAGACACACAAGGATTATGTATTCTAAAGTACCCACAAGGGTCTTTGGATTTTAATTGGATAAATTTAAATCACAATGAAAACAAAAGTACCCCCCCCAGCACTTTTTAAACAGATGATAATGCTGTAATAGTAAAACGTAACCATTTAAATATAATCAATTATAATTAACTACGCAGATAAAACAATCCTTATGAGATTTATGGTGCTATGTTTAAATTCAAACTTAGAACTGGAAACCGCACATCTCTGGCCCTCCCCTGTGCTATCTCCTCGGGCTTCCCTGTGAGTACGTCCTCAGATCCAGAGAAGAGCAGCGCGGCTTACCTTCATGGGCCGCCTGTACTTCCTGCAGGCTGTGACATGAGCGATGACACTGGCGTGTGTCTCTTTGCTGACATTGATTCCATTTACTTTGATGATGCACTGTCCAGGGTGAAGGCCAGCTGCTGCGGCCACAGTTCCTTTAAATACGAATGGGAAAAGTACCAAAAACTGCCTTCAGAAGTAAGATTCATTTTGTAAATATACGTAACAATGGAAGTGACTTTAAAATATAATAAAAATCTACGTAGTATGATCTTGATAAACTTGCTTCTGAGAGCAATGCCCTCTCAACATTTTTCCCATCCAAGTTCTAACCAGGCCCGATCCTGCTTAGCTTCTGAGAACAGACGAGATCGGGTGCATTCAGGGTGGTATGGCTGTGGACAATATTTTTCTATTTTTTAACTTGCTTTTCTTTTATTTATTTTGTTAAACTTGCTTTACAATCGGTGATTAAAAGAACATTTCTTATCTTCCTAATAATTAATTTGAAAGAATATTGCAAAGTGACCTTTGTAATGCTGATCAGTCATGATCCCTTACAAATGTTAAGTCAATCTATTTTCTAAATATATATAAATAACAGCATAATCAGAAGACCAAAACATAGGCTTTATTTACCTGTCTTTACTCTGCAAAACCTCTAAATAGTCTTAGATGCCAACAACTTAATATACACACTAAAAAAGAAATTTTTAAGAAAAGATTCAAGTCAATTGGCAACTATAAGTGAGCTGAATTTTCTGAGAATAAGAAGAGCAGAGGATATGTACAAATGGCCAAGAACTGGAGAATTTGTCGAGAACAGAATTAATTATTAACTGTCCAGTGATTTTGTTTGCATCGAGATGGATTTAATTTGAAAGTAACATATCTTAACCAGCAAGTGAAGATTTCTCAGGACCTTCCTAGCAGTCTTATTTGAAAGTCTAATCAAATCAACATTAAAGTACCATGAGTAAATATAATTCAATGTTCTATAGTTTTATTTGTAGAGACTTTTCACCTCCTTTGTTAAATTTATTCTCAGGTGTTTTTGTTTGTTTGTTTGTAGATGGGACTGGATGATTGATTTCCTTAGCGGGGTCTTTATTGGTGTATATTAACACTACTGATTCTGGTATGTTGATTTTGTATCCTGCAAGTTTACTGAATTCATTTATCATATCTAAGAGTTTTTTGCTGAAGTCTTTACATTTTCTAGATATCAGACTGTATCACTAGCAAACAAGGATAATTTGACTTCCTCTTTTCCAGTTCGGATGCTTTATATCTTGCCTGATTGCTCTGGGTAGAGCTTCTCTTCCCTTGTTGACTAGGAATGATGGAAACAGGCATCATTGTCTTATTCTAGTTCTTAGAGGAAAGGCTTCCAACTTTTCCCCATTTAGCAAGGTTGTTAGTTGTGTATTTGTCGTACATGGGCTTTTATTATTTTGAGGTATATTCCTTCTATACCTAGTTTGTTGAGCAATTTTAATCATGAAGTGATGCTTAATTCTATTAAATGCTTCTTCAATGTCTATTGAGAAGTGATGATCATATGTGATTTTTGTCCTTGACTCTATGTATGTGTTTTCACATTTATTGATTTGCATCTGTTGAACCATCCTTGCAACTTAAATCTACTTGATTGTGATGTATTATCATTTTCATGTGCTGTTGGATTTGGCTTAGTAGTATTGGTTAAAGTTTTCTGTACCTATGTTCATCAGAGATATTGGTCTTCAGTTTCCTTTTCTGTTGTGCCCTTGTCTAGTTTGGGTATCGGGATGATACTGGCTTTATAGATGAGTTAGGGAGAATTCTATCTTCCTCAATGTTTTGGAACAGTTTCAGGAGGACTGGCACTATACATCTACTAGAACATTTTGATAGACATGAATAGAAACTTTTCAAAAGAAGACAACAAATTATGGCCAATAGTTATATGAAAAAAATGCTTGGGGCTGGGGGTGATGGTTCACGTCTATAATCCCAGCACTCTGGGAGGCTGAGGCCAGAGGCTCGCTTGAGCTCAGGGGCTTTAGACCAGTCTGAGCAAGAGTGAGAGCAAGACTCCATCTCTAATAAAAACAGAAAAACTAGCTGGGCATTGTGGCAGGCACCTGAAGTCTCAGCTACTGGGGAGGCTGAGAGAGGAGGATCACTTGAATCCAGGAGTTTGATGTTGCTATAAGCCAGGCTGAGGCCATGTACTCTAACCTGGACAACAGAATGAAAGTCCATCTCAAAAAAAAAGAAAAGAAAAAATTCTCAACATCACTAATCACCAGAGAAATGTAAATTAAAACCACAATGAGATATCACCTTATACCAATCAGAATGACTATTATTAAAAAGATAAAAAAATAACAAATGTTGGCATGCTTGTAGAGGAAGGAGAATTCTTATAAATTATTGGTGGGAATATAAATCAGTGCAACCTCT